CCACCAGGGAGGGCCGAACAAAGGATTCTTAACTGGAAAATATAACATATTAGGATCCAAATTCTGAGATGAGTATTTTTGAAAGTTGTATAATATAGTTACGATTGTGCTTTAGGAAAGAGTAATGCCAAAATGAATAAGTATCCAATTTAAGAGATGGAAAACAACAAGAACAACTACTCTAGAATAAATCCAATTAGTGTAGGAAGAAGTAAGTGAAGATGACCATGAACTTAGGGGAAGGGGGAAGCACATGGTAACAAAGATAGGATAATAAAGGCTGAGGCTGGGTCTTTGAAAAGTCAAATAGTGAAACTTCTGGCAAGATTGAGCAAAGATTAAGAAACAAAGAATTAATACTTAGATTGAAAAATGACATTATAGGTATACATTTTGCAGAGTTTTAAACTGGTAAAATAATATTAGGAATATTTATGCCAAAAATGAATTTGGAAATTTAGGTGAAATAGGAAAGAAAATTTAACCTCATCTGTTTTACAGTAGAAAACTTGTGTAATCACAGTACAGTGGACCATGATGACTGCAGAGAGAGAAACATTCTACTCAAACATTTGTAGAGAAAATATTTTCAACATTACATATGTTCTTCCAGAGAATAATAAGACTCCTTCTCATTTTATTTGCAATACAATCACCACACAAGATCATGCAGTATAGGAAAACAAGACATCTACCTCATGGTCTTCTATGGAAAACCCCCTCAGGACTCACATAGAATCAGCTCTATGTCGTGCTACTTTAAGGTTAAAGATTTGCTTGGGCTGTGTGGATATACTTGTTTATCTTGTTCTGATTGATGTTTGGGTTGAATAAAATTGGAAAAAAAGCATGTTTGGAATAAATATGAAGGATTGACAGCATATGTTCATAAATTGGACAGGTTCAGAAATGACTTAGATCTCTGCTAGGACAGTACTGACAGACTTGTGAGGCACTTCATTTCTTACTGTGGGGAAAGTGCAACTTCTGATTCTCCTTCAGTAGATGGGCACAGCTATGTGTAACAAGAGCAATTCTGGGCAGCTGGTGATAATGTACTGCTGGTGTCAGTGTAAGGAGGTGGAAATAATTCAGAAAACAATTTGGTGCTAGCTTTTAAAGATTATCTTTTGCATTCCATATGACCTAACAACTTCACTCTGAAGGAAGTGCCTTAAAAGCAATGACCCCTTAGATTGGGCTATTATTTTCAGTCATTCAGATGGTACAAATAGTTTAGCTGATACACAGCTGCCATATGTACTTATTTATAAAGCTTCTCTGGCTGATTTGTAGGTTACAATTACTCTTTGCCATCTTCCCTTCATGGCTGCCCTTCATGCATTTTATGACATTCATTTCAGGTACTATTTTTCTTCCTTGCTCCAGGAGGGAGAAACCCCTCTGAATTGCCTGCCTCCCCCCGTCCCCCAGAAAAAAGAGAGGGGCAGTTGTTTTTTAAAATACATTTGGCATTAAAAGTATTGTGAACACAAAGCTGATTGAAACATAAGTGTACTACAAACCTGGTAACCATCATTAAAGAGTAAAACTTCCATTAGAAATATATTTCGACCCTCCCTGGTGGCACAGTGGGTTAAAGCACAGCACTAAGAAGCTTAAGCCACTTCCTTAAGTGGAACTTCCTTAAGAACACTTCCTGTTCTTATGGCAATTTCCAATACTTTGCTTTCAGCATAATTTAAAGACAACTTGATAGAGTTGTCTTGGAATCGTTAAATGTTTCATGGTTAATATGTAACTTTTCAGCAGAGTTCTCTCTAAAGGAGTGAAAACAATTGGGTAATGATGTTAAAACTCCTTCGTTTATGGGAGAAAGTTTCTCTGCATGAATAAAAATCATATATATATCCTGCCTCATTTTAGCACTAAATGATTTTCATGCACAGATAAAGAATAATGGAAGGAAAGGAGATGGTCCCATTAATATCATTGAGATATATTTCTTTTCTTCTTCTTTTTTGTTTTTTGTTAAAGATTTATTTATTTGTGCATACAGAACTGGGGTACAGGCCAAAGGCTCAGGGGCGGTGAGAGGCTTCACCAGAGACAGAGTGGGGAGCAGAACAGGCAGATCGAGGAAGTACATTGCTGAGGGGAGCAGCGAGTGAGTCAGGAGAGGTCTGCCTACCATGTGGTTACCTCCAGGGCAGGTGGGGATCGAACTCATGTGGAAGTGGCTTAAGCTTCTTAGTGCTGTGCTTTAACCCACTGTGCCACCAGGGAGGGTCGAAATATATTTCTAATGGAAGTTTTACTCTTTAATGATGGTTACCAGGTTTGTAGTACACTTATGTTTCAATCAGCTTTGTGTTCACAATACTTTTAATGCCAAGTCAATCTGGAAGAAAACTTTTAAATTTTGTGCTTCATGGTTATAGGAACTTTAATAAAAATTAATTTAATTTATATACATATTTTGTTGCAAAGAAAGGTGATAGCATGATCAATATTAAGCAACATCAAGCCAGTTTTATCAGACAGTTACAGAAAAGTGAAGTAGAAATCAGTTCATAAAGAAAAGACTTGGGACCCTCCCTGGTGGTACAGCGGGTTAAAGCACTCACTAAGAAGCTTAAGCCACTTCTGCATGAGTTCGATCCTCGTGCCTCCCTGGAGGAGATCCACATGGCGTGGCAGACCTCTCCTGACCCGCCTGCTGCTCTCCTCAGCAGTGTACTTTATCGATCTGCCTGTTCTGCTCCCCACTCTGTCCCTAGTGAATCCTCTCACCTTCCACATCTCTGGCCTGTACCCCAGTTCTGTATGAATAAATAAATAAATCTTTAAAAAAAAAAAGAAGAGAAAATAAATGATGTAATATTGTAAAGCAGGGGTTTTGTTTGTATGTTTTAGGATGATTTTGAGAATTAAGTCACTGTGGCATGTAGGTTCCACTGGGTGCATGGACAATGACGTATTTCTCTTGTATTGTACAATTCCAGTGTTTGCCGGGTACTGCAGGTCTTGTAACTATTTAAACTTAAATGGTAATTTTTGGATATAATTATAACAGAATTATAATTTAAGGAAATATCAAGGAGTTTTTTTTTTTTTGCTTCTTTTAGCAATAGTGGTAGCAAAAAATGTTGAAGATCACTTTTAACAATCTTTTTATCTTTCTAGTTTAGAATTTTCTTGACCCTACTAATGTTTTTTCTTTTTCTAAATTTTACTCTTTCATAGGAAAAAAAATCAACTTCTAACAATAAAATCAACTTAAACAACATCAGGTTTAAAGACTGATATAGATAAATATTTATTTGACAGTATAACTTTCTGCAATTATTATAAATATATCTGGTAATAGACCATATAACATTGTTATCTATCTTTATACTTTAATTTCTTTATTTTCATGCCACATCTACAACATTCTGTTATATAAATATGTCTAAAGTCCTCTTGCTGGCTATTTAGGTTATTTCCAATTTTTTGCTATGTTTTTTGGCTAATAAAAAATTGAATGTTATTGCCCATGTTTTCTTGGCCATATGGTCAAGAAAGTTGCTGTGATACTGACACCTGAGAGCTGCTGGTTTGTAGGGTTTCTGCTTTATGCTTTATGTGTGTGTGCTCAGCATATTCCAGCTGCAAAATAACACTTGATGTTATATCAATTCAGTTTATAATGGACTAATGCAAGCGAATAGCTCAGTGTCTACCTTCTGTTTCACAGTTGACTTTGTAACTCCTTTGTGAATTTAAATAGGGTCTACCTTTTCTTAGTTTACTTTTATTTAAAAGAATGTTGAGCCAAAGAGCAAAATCATCTCTTTAGGAATCTCATCTGTATTTTTCTCTGTTTCAAAGTTTGGGATATACTCATAATTATGAAATTATCTATTTGCTCCTACTTTAGAGCCAGTGATTCTCTAACATAGTCTCCAGTCACCCGGAGGGCATTTGTGAAGTCAGAATGAGCTTCATAGTACCGAGTCTCATGTGCTTCTTGTTCTTGTCAGTGGGTGGCTTTTTGCATTGATGATCAAAAGCAATTTGTGGGTAAACTTGTCAATATCTTTTTGAGAACCAAGGAAATGGCATGCTGCAGGTATTTGATTTAACACAATGAATAGTATAGTAAATGTTGTTAAATATAATCTGAACAAAGTACCAGGGAATCTGGAGATCACAAAGTTTGAAAACGATTACTTCCCTAAGTAGACTACAGAGGTGTGTGTGTGTGTGTGTGTGTGTGTGTGTGTGTATGGAGCAAACAAGTAGCACATGGTGGATATAAATGGACAGATATTTTATTTTCTTGTTGATGGTCACTTGGAAGGGAAATCTAGAAAATATGATACTTCTAACAAATTCAGTTGAGCTTGATTTTATATACGAGTCTTAAATTTTTAACTTAATTGCCTTATTTTTTTTTAATAACAAGATTATATTTGTAAATAAAATACTTTGCAGGTGCTGACCTTAAGGAAAGAGTGAAAATGAGTTCCAGTGAAGTTGGTCCTTTCGTCTCCAAAATAAGATCAGTGATTAATGAAATTGGTAAGCACAATTAAATCTTGCTTTTAGCATGCTGAAGAATGACCTCAAATGCACCTTGTCTTTATATAAAATCTTGGGTTAGAATACTTGTACAATTAGGTAATAATCACTTATACCTGGTTGCTGTGAAACAGCATGTGATATATTTAATTTTAAAAAATGTTGAAAAATATTTCATAATTAAAAGTGACTGTGTAGGTGATTTAGCATATTAAGGTAGTTACTAGGAAATAAGACATAAGACATAAAACTTCAGCTTAAATCTATAAATGTACAAATACATTTATAGATTTATATACTTGGATATTTTTGTATTTTTACATAAATAGGATTATACTATTTCCTTAGAATAAAAAACTTTGATGTAGTATTTATATCTCAGCACATATCACTCTTATTAATACTTCTAAATTTGTTGCTTCTTGGTAATACATTGTGTCTTATCCACAATTTTAAGTTATTTCTTAATATTAATGAATATCTTGTTTTTTTTCTTTTGCTGATTTTGTTTTTTATGATAAAGCAGTGGATGTTTTTGTACAGAAGTCTGGGAACTTCAGCATGTGTTTTTATAGTAGAGATTTGTAAACATGGAATGGCAGCTTTAAGAATCACAGTCGATCTTACATTTGATAAATTCTTCTAGATTATATTCATATTATATTCATAACAATTACAGTAATTTATATTTCCATTAAAATTGTACGTGTTTTGTCATATGCTATCAGCAATTGGGTGGCTATATTTTAAATTTGTCAAGGTTAAGGAAAAAAAGCATCACAATATTTGAATTTGTATTCCCAGATGTTTGTGCTGTTCGTCTTTTCCCTTTTTTTAAATTGCCTTTTTACATTCTTTATCCTGCATTCGATAGCATTATTGAATTATTGCTTATTTACTCAAAGACCATTTTTGTATTAATCTTTGTTACATTTTATTACAGATTTTGCCTTTCAATGTACCACATAGTTGAATTCTCGTAACTTTTAAAATAAAAACTTGCAATATCTACAGGGTAGGGTACTAACTTCCTTTCATTTTTCTTTTGTCCTGGAAGATTTTCTTGGGTAACTTCCATTCATCAATTCTTAAAATGATTTTAGGATAAAGAGAAAAATGATCTGTGATTATTTTTTATGATAGTTTACCTTTTCTTTTATGAAGTGCATGGCTCTGATTTCAGGAGAGGTCATTAATTTTTCAGTGTCCCAAAAAGTAATTTATTTCTCTTCAAATTGGTTTTTATCATGTATTTTTTCCTGTTATTTATCTTTAACTATTTTAATACATTTATTTCCTTGATTGGGATTCTCCCCTTATTTCTGTTGAAATCTGGTTATTGTAGATCTATAGAAAGCTTTTTAAGTATATGGATTCTTTTTATATTAGCCAATTTATCAATTACTTATATTAGTTACTGTTATTTATCAGTAAATTTTCTTGTTTTCCAGATGGAAAGTTCTTATGTGTAATATAATTTTATTTTTCCCCTAAATATATTTTAATCATGTATTTAAATATATTTTTATATTGGCGAAGGCCCTTAGTACAGATACTCATTTTTTTTTTTTGAAATGACTGAGTTCATCCTTATCTTTCTTTGGCTTGATGCAATTAACTTGATCCTTGTTTCTTTAGATAATTCTGTTGTCCTACTGTGACCAATGAATTGGTATATTTTCAGTTTAAAGTTTTTCTCTTTAGTCCTTTCTCCTAGTGTTTTCTTTGTAGTTTTAAGTGAACTTTTATCTGTAACACTTAATTTATCCATTTTAAATTACATTTCTCAGCTAACCTGTTTATAAATGTAATGAAATGTGTACCTCCGTTAATTTCCTGTTAATACAGTTATAGAATTTTAAAAAATGTGTTTATTGATGTAAAATAAATAGCACATATTAAAGTAAGCACTTGGTATAGATTTTGGCTTTTATGAATTCATGTTCCACAGAATTTGAAAAAGTGAATAACTGGTTTCAGTCCAGGGGCAGATACTGTGGATCACATAATAGGAAAGTGGCGGCAATTGCCCTGAGCCATGGTCTTGATCTGGTAACATCATAGAATGTTCTAGGTGGGGCTAAACCAGGGCATGCATAGATTGGTTACATGCTTCTTCATGTCACATGCCCCATTAGCATCTTATGTCTCCACCCTTGGTGTGCATTTTAGCATGCTAACGAGAACTAAGTCATTTCCACATCTGGTCCTCTGCCTCCTGCATCTTTGCTTTGTAGCCATCAGTTTTCATGTGGTTCTGGAACCATTGCCCCAAAGCAGGAAGCCTCTGCAGAATGCAGAGTCTGTTCTCACTGGTGATTGGCAGCAACCTGGGGTTTTGTGGAATTCTATTAGCCTAGGGGCTCAATAACAGGAAACTGAGGCAAACAAAGTCTAGGTTCAAGGGGTCCTGGTGGTTTCTTTTTATTGTTGGGTGGTATTCAGTTGTGTAGTTGTGCCTTACGACAGACATTTGGGTTGTGCCCATTTTGGGACAGTTACACATAAAGCTGCTACAAACACTTATATATATGTCTTAAATATCTTACAAGTTACGCCCCAGGAATTAAGGCTCTTACTGCTTCACCTGTCAACATTGCTATCAGCATAGTTGGTCAGCATGTTACCTGTGGGAACGTGAGAGTGCCACATCCTCTTGGATAAGCTGAAGTAGGCAGTGCTTCACCTGAGGAATCTTAAGGTGCAGGTCCTGGCTCAGTACTTCTGGGTGAACCTGGATTTCACATTTTTATCAAACTTCCAGGTGATGCTAATGCTTCTGGTTCACATATCACACTGTGAATAGCAAGGTTATAGATAGATGCTGAGAGTTAGTGAGGCAGGGCAGTGATGTTATACATCTTTTTTTCCGACCAGGTAAAAATAAACTACACTAGTCTCCCCTGATCTGTGTTTTTTTTTTTTTCATCTGCAGTTTCTGTTGCCCGCAGTCAACCATGGTCTGAAAGTACTAACAACAATAAGATATTGGGCAGGGGGATACCACATTCATATAACTTTTATTATACCATATTATATTGTTCTATTTTATTAGTGGTTGTTGTTAATCTTACTGTACATAGTTTATAAGTTAAACTTTATCATAAGTAGGTGTGTATAGGTAAAAACATCATTTTTAGGGTTTGGTACTATCTTCTTTCTTTTATTCATTGGGTATATAGAAATGTATCTCGCACAGATTAGATGGGACCAGTATACTTCCAGTATATGTTTTTATCAAAAATAGGAGTAACTACATTTGCCATGCCAAACCGTATCTGAAGTGCCAAGTTTTTTCCCAATAATTGGAACATTGGTAGATGGTGGATGTCATTAAATGTATTAAATCTTCTAGACAAGCTGCTGAGTGGTGTATGTGGTGACTTAACTTCACCATCAGCTCTTCCCTGCATTTCTCCCTGGAGCTTTATTTGATTTGGAAGTTTGGTAGGAAGTGTTGGCCTTCCTCTGCATTTATATACAGGGGTTGGGGGTTCTCAGGGAAAACTGCTGCCAGCACTTTAGGTACTGTAAACTGACTGGCACTTGCAGTGGGCCTGCAGGATCCCCCATGTGGACCTGGTGAGCGATGTTGTTCCAGGTCTTGTGAAATTAGAGCACAGAGCCAGTGTCCTCTTGACTTCTAGGAGTCTCAGCATTTCTCCTCAGATACAGGGTCCTAGGTCTGTGGGGAAGGATGGAAGTGTGACTTACAGTGTTGTCTTCCTCAGGGACTCTGGACATGGGGTTTGAGAATGGTGTGTAGGTAGTAAGTAGTGAGCAAGACCCAGGAGCCAGGTAGGTGACTTGTGCTCAAACTGTGGCTGTGCCAGACAAGTGGCAGCAGCTCTTGTGTGCCTGATGTTTCCATTTGTATAATGCAGGTCATAGTTCTGAGGTCAGAAGACTGGTGTCGTAGGAGGTTGCAGTAATATTTGTCAGTTCCTCAGGACAGTGGCCACACATAGTAAGTCCTTTATAGTACTTGCTAGATCCACAGGCAACAACATAGAAAGGTAATGAGGCAGGTGGCTAAGTGATAGGCTCAGCAAAATCAAACTGCTTTTCTCAGTGATCACTTTCCTGACTCCTGGGAACAGGGACTCTAGTTTGAAACACCCATCCCTCATCCCAGTGATGAGGTGAGGTGTGTTTGTTGACCTTCAGGCTGATTCCTTTTTTCTGGGCTTGGGTGGGGCCTCCAGAAGAGATGAGGTACAGTAAGTCCCTCGGCTTTGAGCACTGGTGGCTTTATTTTCTTGGGATTCCTTTGAAAGTCAGTGATGGGAGAGTACATTAAACTGAGGGTAGATTTTAATTGAAAGTAAGGGTGGTTAGGAATTTATTATAATTTCAGTTAACCTGCTTTTATTCTTCTTGAATGATTTTAGTTAAGTTAGATTTCCCGTAAGCTATAATATATTTCTTTTGAAATAGGATTTCTTTATTTTGTTACAAGAACATCATTCTTACAGTAAAACCAAATTTAAAATCATTACTGAGACTAGCAATTTTTCCTCTATGGTCAAATTGGTTATATATTTTCTAGGAATGTGAAAGTGAGGACAGACCCTCACTTCCTGTTTCTCCATATTCATGACCCTCTGACCTATTAACGCTCTCAGTGATGTTTTTGGAAGTCTTGGAAGTGGACCGTAGTCTTCCTTTGCAGCTCCTATTTTTTCTCTTAAAATAGCAAAACTTTGTTTGCTTTAATAATATTTTAGGAGCATTTCAAAGGATTATTATCTTCTTTGTCATTCCTGGCTCATTTCCTGGTACCAAACTCAAAATAGTATCTGATCCCATTGGTTGCGTAACCATTGAGTCATAATTTCTTCCTATCACTGTTGGGCATCGCCATTACTCATGACCGTTCCTATTTCATTCCACTGCACTCTTACACAACTGTCAGTTTTATATTCCTCAGTTCCTTGAAACTGAAAATCTGCCTTCTACAGGTGTTCTATTGCATTTCCTCTCAGATTAAGAAGAAACACTGGATGTAAAAATAAGCATGTTTGATAGCTATGAAACTATTCTGTGCTTTGAGATGACTCACATTTTCCTGAAAACAATTTACTAAGTAACATATCTTTATGGCAAAAATTAGAATTACTTTAGAGACTTGGGATTTATAAGTATAAATTTAATTACTCATTGAATATTAATTAAGCTGTTCTACTTATTTAGAAAGAAAATTTTATAGACTGATTTATATAATGGCAATGTATGTTGATTAATATCCATAAATACTAAGTAGTGTAGCCCATTTAATGATTTGAGAGGGTGTAAGGCTCCACATTCTTGTCATTTTGTGTTTTATATTTTATGTGAATTGTATGTTAAAACACTTTTACGCCCTTCAGAAAAGTTGTTAATGTTCTTAGCTATCACATTTTAAAATAATTTTGATTGCTTCTAAAAGGTCTAAGCAGATAGGAAAAATGGGTTATATTCTCTGACTTTAGAATTAAGAAAACTTGTGCAACTGGTAATTTTGACTTGTCTCCTAGAACTCTTATCTGTCAGGTCAGCACACTGCAATTTGTTTATTTCTCCTTTCCCAACACTGCTTTGTGGAAACCCCCTATTCTGAGTCTTGTGGAACCAGAAACCTCTTTATTGAACATGTTTCCCATGACTTTATTTTATAAACACCAGATCTCTTAGTATTCTTGCAATGAAGGGAAAGGAAGGGCATTTTCAATACTCAATTTTACTTGATTTTTAAAAATATGTACTAAGTACTTTCACTATTCTATTGACATTTCTTACTTTTAAGAAACATTATCTCCCTGTTGCTTAAGTGTGATTTTTAAATCTAATCTTATGATTCTTATAAATAAGTATAGACTTGCGACTATACTTGAGAATGCTGCCTAATAAAAGTGAAGAACATAGCTTTGTCAACTCCTTGTGAGTCAGTTCTCTTTGTGTTGCAGTAGAAAGAACATTACAAATGACCAGGATTCTACTTTTCCTCTGCTTTTTCTTTTATGTTCAGGGCTTAAGGAAGATTATCTTTGTCATTTATTATTAACTTTGTTTCGTCAACACTTTTATTTAGTAGTCTGTATTTTCATCGTACATGTTGATATGAAGAAAAAATTCTTTTTTCATGTGTATTAAGTCCACTTGTTTTCATGTTAGGGGAAAATCTAAGGGGAATCTTAGGTTGTAATTTTCAACCTTAGGTTGCTTTAACACTAAACTCACCAGTATATATATTTGGGCCTTTGTTCTTTCTCTTTCTGAAGAACCAACTTGCTGTAGATGTGAAGCACTTAGTGTATCAGTGTTTCACCTGCAAAGAGAGAGCAACTTGTGCCCTTCTGGGCCCTCTCCAGCTTGGGGATGTTGTGTAGTTTGTCTTTTCTGTAGTTCTGTAGGACTATTTCTTTTTTAAACCTTTAAATGAGAGAAGTTAATACAGGTATGCTCTGTTTTATTGAGCTTTGTAGATAATGATTTATTCTTACCAACCTCCCGCTATTCCTTATATCTCCTTGTTCATTTCTTCTTTGTCTCTCTGAACCAGTCAGAGCCTTCATGGTGTTTATTGATGTTGATTAGTTTTCTAAGTGTTATACCTTATCAAATTATCTGTTATGTAAATGTTCAGTATTTGTTTTCACTGTGTTGACTTGCTTTTCAAAATACACAGTTCTCTTAAACTCCCTCCATTTTGCTGAAAATGACAGCATTTCATTTTTCTTCCTAACTGAATAGTATTCCATTGTGTGGATAGATCACATCTTCTTGATTATATATTGAAGGTTTATGGGCACCTCAAATTAAGCAAATCTATTGGTACCTTTTTCTTAACAGCATTTGCTTACTTTATGTGACTGCACTATGTTTCATGAAGGGCATGTACAATTTTTTAGACATAATGCTGTTGTACACTTAAAATAGACTGAATTATAGTGTAACCATAGATGTACAGGAACCCCCCAAAAATCTTCTGATTCACTTTCTTTTAAAGATCTATTTATTTATGCATACAGAGCTGGGGTGCAGGCCAGAGGTGCAGGGGCGGTAAGAGGATTCACCAGAGACAGAGTGGGGAGCAGAACAGGCTAACTGGTGAAATACACTGCTGAGGGGAGCAGCGGGCAGGTCAGGAGAGGTCTGCTCCGCCATGTGGTCACCTCTGGGGTGGGGATCGAACTCATGTTGAAATGGCTTAGTTTCTTAGTGCTGTGCTTTAACCTGCTGAGCCACCACTTTATTGTGGTGGTCTGGATCTAAACCTGCAGTATCTCTGAGTTACACCTATAATGAAAAGATAAGTAGGGTGAATGCAGGTTTAATGTAGTAGAGAAGTGGCAGTGAAAAACCTTGAGTTTTTAATCCAAGAGGTAAGAAGGAAGATATTGTTAAGTTGTTACAGGATGGGCATTCTGGTACTGAACCCTACTAGAGAAATAAGCCAGAGTGCCATGGAAACATGAAAGACGAGACTTCTGAGCAGTATTTTGAAGGGTAGGTAGGAATTACTTAGGCATTCAGCAGAAAGGCAGTTTGCACACAGGTTTGGAAGGAATTGACTCTGGAGTTACTTGTAATTTGGGCTGGAAATGTGGAGGCTGTGTCTGAGTTAGAGAAGAACTTGGGATGCAGGTAGGATTTAGTTCAACAAATTCTTCTGTGGTGTCCTAAAGGTTTTCTCCATTTTTATCCTGAATTGGAACAAGCCATTGTTACTATGATTATATTTACATTTTAGTAAAATCACCCCATAGAAAATGGGGAAGATGCATTGGAGGGGCAGGTAGCAAGTGAAGGAGGTCAGTTGAGATGCCCTGCTCATGAGAATTTTGATTACACGTCATCTTTCTTATCTCTGATTGTGAGATCTGGTTTGTAGGAAGGAAGAAGCATTGAGACCTGGTAAAGTAATTCCATTGTATTTGCAGTGGCTTAAGGTAACTTTGGGACCTATTCAATTTAGCTTGTTTTTACCTTGATGGAATTTTCTTTTCGTCAAACAAAATAGTACATTTCTTCATTAAACTTTTTCTTGACTGTAAATATTGACACAGCTGCTTTTCTTTTCTCCTTTTTTTAACTAAGTATATAGTAAAGGTCATTACCTGGAGCACCTTTGAACATGTCCTGTTCTTTACATTCATAGACAGGTTCAAATAGTGAAACATACCCCTTCCTAAAGCTCCTGCATCCCTGCTCTCCCAAGAAAGCTTCTGCCTGAGGTGGCAGCATCTATGGATACTCCTCCCAGGCTTTTCAGACTTTACTCTTTAGGACAAATGAGAGCAATTCCTTCATTGGTGACTAAGACACTGCACTTTAACAAATTTGTATATATTTTAAAAGGGTAAGGAATGGTCCACTCTGTAGAATTTCATGTATTCAAAGACCTATGGAAAAGAGATTTTTCCAGGATGATACCTTTTAATTAATTTTTATTTGCTTTTAAAATCAAGATGCACTTGACATACAGCATTGTACAAGTTTAAGGTGTATGATGTACTGACTTGAAACATATATTTCAGTATGATTACCACATGGCATAACCTAGCACCTCTGTCATGTCACACAGTTATCGTTTACTTTTTGTTATGAGAATAAATGAAATGGCACCTTTTTAATATCCACACATGCACTTTACATATTAAGGTTGATCAGCCTAACTTCACATTTTTATAGTCAAATTAATTAACCATTCAGTTTTTGAACTATTTGTGAAAATGAAATTTGTATGTTGTAATTTAGAAAAATCTCATTATATAGTAAGGTAGCAATCTTACAGAGGAAGAATAACATCTTCTTTCTATTTCAGCTAATCTTCCAGTGCCAACGATTGCAGCAATAGATGGACTGGCTTTAGGTGGTGGTCTTGAACTGGCGCTAGCGTGTGATATAAGAGTAGCAGGTGAGAATTAAAACATAACTGTTAAAAATGACATGAACATTTTGTTTATGCTTCAGATAATTTCAAATACCCTATTCTTTTTCTGTTGAATAGACTATTTTGAAAAAGTCACTGGTTGAATCTGATGTACTTGAAATTCCCAGTCCAGAAAAGTGTTTTAATTGTGTCTGCAGTAGGAGCAAGGGCGGGGACTTGGGTCAGACAGAACTGAGGTTGGATCTTAGGTCTTGGCCTTTTTAGATTAGCTTCCTCCTCTAGAATGGGAGACATAAAATGTCAGTAGCTGTGAAAATAAACATGGAAAGAGGACCCCAGGCCACCTGGCAGAATGGTGAAATCAGTTGTCAAAAGTAACGAGACTGGGTCTTGAAAAATTGCCATATCTGATATGACATATTAAGCTGTTTGAGCTGGAGGACTATGCATGCTGCTCAGGAATTCATACTTGTCAGCCTGTTCTGATCCCGACTGCTTAGTGGGATCTAAGTCTTATGCATGCGATCTAAGTCTAAGTTATGCATGACCTGGCATAACGTAGCCATAACCCTGGTCTTTTTGCATTAAACAACTTTTAACAGAAAATGTATGACTCTTAAGATACAGCATTGAGAGTGATTACTTATTTCTATCAAATACATGATTTTTGAAGTGATCTTTTTTTAAAACATTTTTGCGGAAACTTATTAACCAAGAGAATTTTTTTTGCTTATGAACTGCTTAAGTCACTTTATTTGAATTTGTTGATACAGATCTTACTTAATTTTCTTTTCAGCTTCCTCTGCAAAAATGGGTCTCGTTGAAACAAAGTTGGCCATTATTCCTGGAGGAGGTATGAATTGTTCATGTTCATCTCACGTTCTTCTCTTGATTTATTTCTCATATGGGCATGCACTAGAAGAGTGTAAATTGAAAAGGCAGCACTGACTAACGCTTCTGTAGCAATGTCCTTATTCAACTTGGTCTTTTGGCTTCTCTAGATAGGTGTGAAGATGATAGTTATGCTGGCTGTTGCTCGCTTTCTGCCTCTCTTTCTTCTTTTTTTTCCTGTTTCCTTTTCCATAGCATTTCTTATTTGTGAATTATTTTACCAGTTACATTATTCCTGAAGGATCGCACTATTATTTTGAAACTTTTATGTGAGCATATAAACTTGTGCTCACAGAGCCATGCACACAGTCAGACCCAGTGTGTGTGCGCCTGCATGTATGTGCACTGTTCACGTGTGTGCACACACATGAATGTGTCTGTAGGGGTGGTGGAGCTCCCCCAGCTTCATGCCACCTTTCTTGTGTTTTTCTGCAACAGCACAGGTGGGGTGAGTAAGTAGTAGCCTTAAGGTAGAGCTGAGGAAGGGCTGATTTTTTGGGTCATTGCCAAAAAAGCCTGCTTCTTTGGGAAGACCCATTTAAGATGGCACTTTTTCCAGTGGTGATAATGAAACCTTACACCACCCAATAAATCTGAAATTTTTGTCCTTTTATCTGACGTGAGAATTTGTAGATATTTTCATGTTGTGAATTTGTTCTTTTAAAAAGTAGACTTTATTCTGAGATGTGCACATGTATAACTTCATGTGTAACAGTAACAGTGAAAAATTAAAAGGCAGTGTTGGACACTTTAGGCATGTTTGTATGTGAATCGTTTAAAATTGTATGTTCATTGATCAGAGTATTTAGCCTGATTAGGATATAAAGGTAGAAATTAAAACATTACTTATTCAAGCTGAAGCTTTCCACCCAGATTTATGTGTAAGACTCATTAAGTTTTCTAATTTGGTCACCCATGAAAGTGACATTCTTTTAGGTAATGCATTTTTTTGTTTGTTTTGCCATACCTACACAGTGACTAATGAAAATACTATAAAAGAAAGATGTTCTAGAAAATTGACCTAATTGAAAAGAATGATCAGGTAACTAAAAAAGGATGATGTGACATGTTTCTGAAGTTCTATTAAGAAGCAAGCATTTATTGGTAATTAGGATTTAACTATAGACATGTAGGAACTGTAATTGAATGATA